TTTAAGACAGAATCTGATATTTTAATGGGAATTGTTTGAAGTGGTATCTGTACTTGTAAGGACTTGACTCCATCATCCTTCTGTGCTCTATATTGCTGCTAAATTCTACTCATTAAAGTAGACCTTAATCTCACCAAATCGCTGATTAGATAAAATTCATTTTGAAACAATGGAAAAATATAGGTGCTCAATTTAAAAAGGAGGTAGAAGAAATGTCTCTCCTTTATATACGGAGAAGATCAAAATGACTAATTTATACTTGAATTGTACCGATCCTGTGGTAGAAATGAGATGAGTACCATCCTGTATAATTGACAAAATCAATCTTATTATGCTTAAAGTGGCAAATACAGTAGACAATGTGTGACCTCTGCTGCTCTCTTGCATTTAATTTCTTATTTTGTAGAACTCCTTCCTGTAATATGATATCCAAAATGTTGACACTATTCCAGGCTTGGTTATACTGGCTCTTCAGTAGTAAGTACAGTCATTTAGACCTTTTCTGCCCAAAAGTGCATTAATAGTCTGTTGCAACCAAACGTTAAAGTCTGGGAAGGATGAGGTTTCAAATGGCTTTAAGACTTACGTGGCCACCATCTGCGACAATATGCGACAATAGATGGTAACATGGGCATATTTTTAATAAAAAATGGACTGGAAGGAATTTAGTAATGTTGAAATAAATGTAAGAACATCAGAATACAACAGGACTGAACATAATCTTTTGGATTGTCAAATTCCTTTCCCTGCTCTTGGAGGCAATGAAGTATCTTATAAAATTTAGTTTTCTTTATTACAATTAAACATATTTATGGTCTCATGCTGCAAGAACCAGTTTTCATTACAGACCATTAACTTTAATTAACTGTAATTATAAATGGACAAACCAGGAAATTTATTTCATACCTATAAAATATATTGATGCAAGGAAAGTGGATTACGCTGAGATTCTAGAAGTGTGCATCAGACGTGCATTACAGTATACATGTCCAGCAAACAATGCAAAAATCTATTTCTTTCTGCAATAGGTTCTAATCCAGAAGATGAGCTACTATCTAAGGAATGTATATACTCAATTCTCCATTTAAGCAATGATTTTCTTCTAAATGCATGCAAGGAAAGGGAAGTGCTACTAGATGAAGCTAAATCTAAGTATTCTTCACTATTGTTTTGATAAATCATACTGAATGTATTGCTAGAATAGACATATAATCTGTTTCCATTATTTAAAAAATGAAAGAGAACGTGTTTAATGAACTGCAGTTTTTGTCTGTGCATTGAGTCAGTTCACCACCACAGGTTGATTATTGCGGGTGGACCCAGTGACAAAGGACACAGGTGAGACTGAGGTACTCAGTGCTTTCTTTGCCTCAGTTTTAAGCACTGCAGTCAGTTGAACAGTGTGAGAGACTGTAGAAAATGATCACTGGCTCAAAACAACTAAAGTGAGGGTGGTGGGGTAGGGCAGGGCAAGTTCTGTGTAGGTGGGATGGTGCACTGCTTCACAGCCCTCCCCTGGAACCTCTAGTCCAGCCCAGAAAGGCTAATAGCCACTGACACACCGAAAAACCCACCTGAGGGGAGGGCCCCAAGGGGCCAGAGCAGATAAAAGCAATTGTGCAAGTATACATGTGTAATGTCCCTATTGTCTTGGACTTTATACCAGCTGAGACCACACTGGAACCAAGACAGTAGCTACATCTTTCCCTTGTCTCTCTCCTTCTCCCTTTTTTTCCTCTTCTCAAAATCTGGGTAATTTAAAGTTAAGTGGGTTAGAGTTTATTAAGTCAATGCTTTGTGAAATGGTTTATTTTGATTGAATGTTGCTTTAGAATTTGCCAAGTACCCTTATTTTTTATAGTTTGCCAGTAAAAAGTTTGTCTTTTAACCTCCTGAGTCACATTCTCCCTTGCACCTACCTCAGGGAGTACCTAAGCCCCCTTTAAGAAACTTGCTGAGCGAGTTTGGGGCTTTGCAAATGGTGGGTGCACATGAATTCCATTAGTCTTCCATTTGCTTCTAGTGTGTTTTCAGAAAGCTTTTCTTGCTGCTCTTCACATTCTTTGCTACTTTTAACTCCAGCTGAACTTAAGCTTTCCTAACTCCATCTTTGCATGCATATGTATTGTCTCACTGCTTCTGTCAAAAGTGAGAATCAGAAGGATAAGCAGTACAGTCATGTTATTATGAGTTGAGCAGATGTGAGGACTTTAGGCTATTTATCTGAGGGTAATACAAGCATAATGTATCTAGTGTTATGTTGATGATGTTAACCATGATATAGGCGGTTCCTTATGTACAAAGAGGTGGAGTTCCTGCTCTGAATCCTGATCTCATGTAAAGGCATCTCAGTTTGCCTTAACTGACTGCAGAAGTTTGAGAGATTGACCTCATTAAACTAAACTTAGTCTTAAATGCAGATCCTGTGAACTATAGAAATGGAGCACAGATAAAAAGCTATATGCTTTCTGTTTTATATCCTTTATATATGTGTTGAATCTTGTAAACTTGCTATATTTCACAATTCAGAGTATTTCTGTGACATCAGATTTGTTGAAAGTTTTAAAAGCAGTACAAAGGTTTTGTATTCACGTTTTATCAATTAGTTCTTTTGCATTAGAGAAACTTTCATTTTTATCAATTAAGCTCTAAAATCCAACCATGTGTAACTAAATTTGGTAGCAACATACATACATGTACAAAACACACAACTACACTATGCATTATTTGTTTTTTCTTTAGCTCTCATTAATTTCACTATGAAAATGACTTTTTTTTTCCCACGCATTGCACTGTTTGGATAAACAATGACAATGGTGAATGAAAATCAGTTCTGATCAGTTGATCAGCATCAACTTGATGTTTTTTTCCAAAAATTTTATGACTGTTACTCTGAGTCTCTTTTTTCTAGGAATCTATAAAACTCAGGAAACATACAGCCCGGTTAAAACCCTTGACTGTAGGATTAACTTAATTGCTGTAGTTAAGTTCTTTATTTTTTGAGCACTGACTCTCTTACAGAAGTTAGGGAAGTTGTCTCCTTGTCTCCCTGTGGTGTTGCTATGGTCATCTCTTAAGAGTTATTCAGTGCATAAATCTTAAAACCCATAAGGTTTGGAAATTTCCCCTTGCATTCTTTTCTCTTTCATTCCCCTCCTCCCTGCACCTTCATGCCTTTAGCTTCCTTCTCTTTCCTGACACCCAGTCAATTTTCACCTCATCTGTAGTACAATGTCGTATTCTGTGTGTGAAAAAACTGTTCAGAAACACATTAGAGTCCTTTAAAGTATAATTCTGAAAACAGGAAACCCTGGTGTCTGCTTTCTCTGTTGTAGCATTTCATCCCTGTTCCAATTTATGACACACATTTCCAGTCAAACAATTGTAGATATAACAACAGACTGGCTTTTATTTAGTGAATCTCAGGTTTTGGCACCAATAATGTCATGAATGCCAGTTAAATTTTCATCCCTTTAGTTTTCATGTTTTCTATGAAACCTCTCCAAAGGCTGTCTTTTCAACAAATATAAATATACTTTTTAAAATATCTGGAAATATGCATGGAAAAATTTCAGCTAGCCATATAGCATATCCGTCTGTTAGACATTAGCATATATTCATGTTCTCTCATATGCTCTGAACATGCAGGAACTGAGACAGCCTTTGCAGAAATCTCGAGGAGTAGAAAATGGGATCTAACATGGTTCCGTAACACAAAATGACTGACATAGTGCAAACCAAGGCTGTAGACTTGCCATTGCAGCACAGTGTTAGTCCTGTTACATTGACCGTTACTCTTGTCTGTTGAGATATATTCCACATTCCATACCTATTACTATCTTACACAAAAATTGTCCTTCTGTATGTAAGATTTTGGCAATTTGAAGCATTTGCAGTGCTGCAGAGAACTGTATCTCTGGAACTGAGAAGGCAAGAGAAAAAAAAGGAAATTTATACTAAAGTTAAATATAGACATTTAAATTCATATTCATTAGTAAGTAGTTAATGAATAAAATATTGCTCATGGTTAGTATTTTATGGGAAATACTGAATATAATGAAGTGTGTTTGAGCATATGTATGTAAAGAATCATTAAGCTACTATTCAATGAGAAAAAAAGATGAAGTTGTGAATATTATGTAGTTTAGCAGAGTAATTCTAAAAGAGAAAATTATTCACAACTGAATTTCTATTCAGGATTGGGACCTTAGTTGACTGAAATAATAACAGTTGTGAATTGGATTTTCTTCTTGTTAAAGAGAATGTAACGTACTTTTATTCCTGAATAAACTTAACTTTGATATAGTTCCCTTTATGTTTTAATCATTAAATAATTATTAATGAAGTAATTAACAATTACTATAAAAGGTTAGGAATGGCTGAGGGTTTCAGTAGTAGCAGGCTGGACAACATTTCAGAAGTATCGTGAAGCGAGAATCGGCAGGATGTGTTGGCAAGCTACTGAGTGAAGGAATAAATAGTATATCAAGGTTATGAACTGTAATAATGAAAAGGATGGTGGAGATGGGGAGTAGGAAATGTCATACAGTGTAATTGTATGCTTTTATCTTGTCCAGATTCAATCTATGACTGAACATTCAATTATAGATGACAGAAAAACATCATCAGGGTGAATAGGAGAAACCAGAGCCCTGAAGTCCTGAGCAATCCCTCATTCCTAATCCCATGACTGCTGATTCCTTTCATCTTGTGGCTTGTTTACACTCTGAACTGTGAGGACAAAATAAGGAAAAAAGTGTAGTGTTAAATTATGATTGATTAGGGCTTTTTCTTCTTGTTGAATAAAGTATCTGGCTACTTATTCCAGGGCTGTTTAGTGACTGTGGTTACAAAGTGCATCAAAGTCAGTGTTTCTGGTCTTCCTGATGCATTAAAAAATATGCAGAAGATAAAGGTTTAAAGTATTTTTATTAATTATTATTTAAAATGGATATGCCCTTGCATAAAACTGAACTGATAATTTTTCTATTTCCACACAGCCGAGGCAACGAGAACAGACTAGCTCTACGAAGACAGACCATTCTCCGGGAGAAGGGGAGGAGGCAGGCCAGTCGAGGGCCAGCATATATGTTTAATGACCACTCAACAAGTCTTTCCCTTGAGGAGGAGCGCTTTTTGGATGCTGCAGAATACGGAAATATTCCAGTGGTTCGCAAAATGCTGGAAGAATGTCCCTCCCTCAATGTGAACTGTGTGGACTACATGGGACAGAACGCTTTGCAGCTGGCAGTTGCCAATGAGCACCTGGAGATCACAGAACTTCTGCTGAAGAAGGAGAATCTGTCTCGGGTGGGGGATGCCTTGCTTTTGGCTATTAGCAAAGGTTACGTTCGGATAGTGGAAGCCATCCTAAACCATCCCGCTTTTGCCGAAGGCAAGAGGCTTGCATTGAGTCCTAGCCAGTCAGAGCTCCAGCAAGATGACTTCTATGCATATGATGAAGATGGCACACGGTTTTCCCATGATGTTACACCAATCATTCTGGCTGCTCACTGCCATGAGTATGAGATTGTCCACACTCTGCTGAGAAAAGGAGCTAGGATCGATAGGCCGCATGACTATTTCTGCAAATGCAGTGAATGCAATCAGAAACAAAAACATGACTCTTTCAGCCATTCCAGATCCAGAATCAATGCCTACAAAGGTCTGGCCAGCCCTGCTTATCTGTCTTTGTCCAGTGAAGACCCTGTAATGACTGCCTTAGAGCTCAGCAATGAGCTGGCTGTGCTTGCCAACATAGAAAAAGAGTTCAAGGTGAGTAGAGGGATACTGATTCTGACAGACACAGAATTGCAAAGTTCAATCAAAGGTTTTTCTCCCATTCCTTGAGCAGTAAGAGATCAGCATTATCTTCATAAATCAGCAGAATAATCTGGGAAAAGATATAATTGTTTAATCAATGGAGTATTTAAATCTTTGGGAATGTCTTATTGCTGTGTGCTGAGCGTAATTCTTGATCCTTGTGTAGAATGTGCCAGTGAACTAATTTTCTGCTTCCTATTAGGCAGGATAGTAAAGGAGGCCCTTCAAACCCATGCTGAAGCTGTCTTAGGGCAGAGGAAAGAGGAGACTAAAGTGGTACCCTTTGGTACTGTTTGGCAAGACAAGTTGCATGATTCCATTAAACACTTGCAGATTCTCATTATTTTCTCATAATTGGACTGGAAGCTTTCTCATTCATCACAAAGTTTTGCATTTATTCACAAAAAAGGACTCTAAATAAACATCCTTCTCCTTTTTTAATGTCCTGCTTTCTTTTTTCTGGTATTTCTAGTGGCTTCTTCCTCTTTTTTACTTACTTGTGGTTCATTATATGGGAACTCTCTAACGTTAAAGACTTTTTCAGTGTTATAAAGAATTTTGTAATATTCTACAAATGCATGATTTTGAAAAAAAGTGTGATTAGTTGAGACTTGAAGTGTGAGTGTTCTTTGGTTCATTTTTTTTGTTATGTAGGTGCACAACCTACAGAAATATTTTCCACAGTTCATTTGTGTTAGGACAGTAAGAATGTAACTTTCTTTCTCTCAGTAAATGCAAAGTCAGGCTTTGTGCAAACATTGCCATTGTTAATTATGACTTAGGTTAACTAAAATCACTTAGACTGGGTGTGCCTTATGTGACCCTGTTGAAAGCAGATGCTACTATATAGACCTCACTAGCAGGAGATAAACCCCCTCCAAAGCAGTATATAGAATAATTTTCAACATTATGTTAGGAAGAGTTTGAAGTTGGCATGATCAATATTTGATGTTCATCTTAGCAGTGGCACAGTTCACAAGGCCCTGAACCTTTCTTGATTTAGCCAACCTGATCCGAGATGCTGAAGTTCTGAATTAATTACTCCTGAGTTGTGTTCATAAGGGTATCTTTATGGCACCAATCTGTTGTAAGAAGCAGAAATATTTCTTGAAGAGGGAAAGTAAGGAGAACGAATGTGCAAGATGATCTTAAAAACAACAGCTAAACATCAGAAATTGGAGCAGAGGAGAATTTTTATTTTATATCAATAAAAAAATGGTGGGAGGACCATTTCAGCTTAATGCAGAGGATGCATATGTGCCTCATGAAGTCCCTGACAGAAATCCTTAGGACCTCAGTGGGCTGAGATTTCATCCACTGCTTTCATATACAATTCAGGGGAGAGAATTTAAACCACACACTCATTTCTTTCTCTTTAGCAGCTGCTGATGGGAACAAAAGGAGTTGATTAACTTAAAGAGGAGTAAATTTAGAACAGAACAGAAAACCATTTTGCATACACCATAAATGCAGCCTGTTAAGTTCACAGCTATGTTGAGATAAATAACATGTCTGATTCGTAGGAACTGTATAGCTCCCTTTACCACAGTTGGAGTGACACAAACTAAGATTATTATAAAGATAAATAAAATCATCATCTGGAATAGTCAGCAAGAACTGTCTTTCAAATGTATGCTGCAGTACACAGTCAGTGGGATGAATTGGGAGCACACTGTCCCTGGTACCACCAGGCAGGGAATGAAGTACACAGGTGAGAACAGTAGGCTGGGTCACAGAGCAAGCTTCTACAGCCTGCTCTGAAGCGCCATAAGAAGGTCTTTCTTCAAGGACTTCTTTTTTTCTAGTTTCTCTTTTTTTCAGTTGCTTTCTTGAAAATTAGAGCTTAACTTCTAATGCAGTGTTGTATAAAGAATTTCAACAGAGATTTTGAGGTACTGTCTCTCAGCAGAAACAGGAAGCTCAATGAGAGACAGAGCAACTCCACATTACTGGGCATTAATCATCCAGGCTCTGCTGGGAACATACATACTCTTTGAGTAGAGTGGAGGTGGATAGGAACTGTGAGGAGCAGGAGCAGTAGGCAACACAGAAATTTAACTCTCCCTTAATTTAAGATTTCACCAGGAGCAGGGAACATAAGGTCTTTAGGGAATGTTTTTATAGGTACTAAAATCCCATGGTGGTTCTGGATAAATATTAAAGACCACTCACATTTATACATGAATTATTGAGAGTTAACATTTACAATTTTGATAAGTGATTAACATTTACAATATCTAGACAGGCTAGGGACTTGACTGCAAAATACCTGTCTTAGTTTCAGAGGAGGCAGTACAAGTGTGTGCAAGTTACAGGAAATGGATGCTGTCAGCTTTACTGAGTGTGGGCTAGCTTGTGCTCCTGCAAGCTCATATCCCTGCTTGCAGCAATTTAGCTAAAAATTGTTAACCTTGCTTTATTTCAGGAGTTTGCTACAAATACCTGGATAAAATACCTGCATAAAAATGTGAGTTTCATAAAAATGGGTTACAAGTGTTAGTGTAGTCAGAACAAGTATATTTTTAGTGCATAGGTTAGCTGGGCATGGCAAATCTTTAGCTCCACCTGGGGTTTGCCTTAGCCACTTGAAGTATGTCAAACCTTACCTAAATGGAAATTGAACTTTCTGTAATACACTGTTATAACAGTTACCTATTTTATAGTGCTGATGGGGTATTGTTGCAGGAGAACTTTCAAGTGAGTGCCTACAGCAGCCAGTGGCACAGATAATTCCCAGATCTTCCTCAGAGGCAATAGAAAGGGTCAGTGCTAAACTGGAGACATGTGTCGATCACAGTATAGGAATATTTCTGTAGCAAATAGCTAATTTAGGCTTCCTGAGTAGTTCTGAGATCTTCAGGGTTTTCTGAACACCATTTAATTTAGTTTTATATAATAGAATGCTTTGGGTTGGAAGGGACCTTAAGGATCATATAGTTCCAACCTCCCTGCCAAGGGCAGGGAACCTGTCACTAGACCAGGTTACTCAGAGCCCTGTTCAACATGGTCTTGAAGATCTTCAGGGATGGGGAATCCTCTCTGGACAACCTATTCCAGTGTCTCACCACTCTTATAGTAAAGATTTTTTTCCTAATATGTAATCTAAACCTATGTTGCTTCAGTATAAAACCATTCCCTCTTGACCTTTTTCACATGCCCTTGTGAAAAGTCTTTCTCCAGTCTTCTTGTAAGACCCCTTTAGGTACTGAAAGGTGCTATAAGGTCTCCCTGGAGCCTTCTCTTCCCCAGGCTGACCCAACTCTCTCAGCCTGTCTTCATACGAGACATGTTCCAGCCCTCTGGATGTGTTCCAGCCCTTTGTGGCCCTTCTCTGGATTCATTTCAACAGGTCAACCTCTTTCTTCTATTGGGGGCCCCAGAGCTGGACACAGGACTGCAGGTGGTGTCTCACAAGAGCAGAGTAGAGGGGCAGAATCACCTTCCTTGACTTGCTGACCAAGATGCTTTTGATACAGCCCAGGATACCGATGGCTCTCTTGGCTGCAAGCACATATTGCTGGCTCACATTGAGCTTTTCATCCATAAACACCCCCAGTCCTTCTCCCCAGGGTTATTCTTGACCCGTTCTCTGCCCAGCCTCTACTTGTGCTTGGGATTACCCTGACATGACTAAGTGTGCAGTTTTACAAGGTTCGATGTTATATAGAATATTTTTACTTTTGGAGATTGTGATCATGTTTTCTGTCATCTCAATCATTCACCCACCCTAGAGCTAATATCTCTATTATGTCCATAAAGATGGTGATGATATATGACAAATGTTGTCCTTCAGAGATGTGGCCTGGAGTTTTGAGAGGGACAGCTGTGTCCCAGTGCTGTTCAAAATGGATAAGATAAGCATTTAGTACAAAACCCATTGCAACTATAACAGCAACATTCTGGTTTATTGTGTCATGGGATGGAATGGAAAATGTATTTTTAAGTTAAATATAGATTTGTTACTGTTTACTGTAAATTACTTCCCCTAATAAGGTTGTCTGAGTTTGCTTTTCTGATAAGAAGCAAAATTCAATGTATCAACTCAAAGTCTGATTTTCTGCTGTTTTGGTTTTTTTCTTTTCCTTTATACAACCCCCATTACAGAAATTGGATCCCAGTCTTCATTACGGTTATTAAAATATGTCATACAACATTTCTGAAAGTGTTTTTTTTTTTTACTTTAATTGCCTCAAAAGTGAGTCTAGAGAAGTGACTGAGGTGCAGAACTTGATAAGGTAGATATGCAAGGTAACCAAGGTGAGACAAATACCACTCTGAACATTTTGGGGGGGGAAGCACATAACAAGATGCAAAGAAAATATTCACAGAGGTGTGGCTGGGATGTAGAACTGTTTCTGTCATGGTGCATCTAAACACCAAGTCTCCTTCTTTCTTCTGTTTTCTAGAATGATTACAAGAAACTGTCTATGCAATGCAAAGATTTTGTAGTCGGACTCCTTGATTTGTGCAGAAATACAGAAGAAGTGGAAGCTATTTTGAATGGTGATGTAGAGATGAACCTCAGTAATGGAGAACACGGCCGCCCCAGCCTTAGCCGCTTAAAACTTGCCATTAAGTATGAAGTTAAAAAAGTAAGCAATTATGTTGATCAAACAGACATGTCATGATAGTGGTATTAAATTGTGCTATTAATAAATGTTTATGTTTTGGTAGCCTATGACAAATGAACATTAGGGCCTTTTTGCACAATGTATTTTGCAAACAAAAGAGTCCTTGCCCCAAATAGCTCGCAATATAAACAAGAAGCAGATATTGAGAGTGGATACTGGTCACAGTGAGTATGAGAGCAAATGACTGCGATACAATTTGTAGCTATGTGCAAAATAAAAAAAAAAAGGCTTCAGGCAGTGTCAACTACAACAGTTATCATCCCTTCTTTGTCTTGCTTTCATTTCTACTGTCAGTTTAATACTATAGTCTCCATCTGAAATGCTCTCAGTGAAACTAGCTGAGTCAGTAGCTGCACAGAGACCCTTGAATTACCCAGGAAACTCGTCTTGGATAATAGAGGCTGTAAAATTCCAGGTGGCGTGTGTGAACCAGGGAGAAATTATTTGTGTGATGAATCTTATACAACCAAAGATCAAGAAGATACAGACCAAGAGAATACTTGAAATGCATGTTACCCTAAAGTAGAGCCTTTTTTACAAAAATTGAGCTCACATCTCCTACATGAGAAGTATATTTATGTGTTCATGAAAGGAAGAAAAGAAGAAAGCTATTTTGGCTGAGCACTCACCAATAAATGAAAACACTGCAAAACACTTGGCAAGTTATGGTCACTAAAGAGAGATGAAGCAACTGCTGAACAGAAGATATCACAATGAGTTTGTCCTTCATAGTATTTGAGTCTTAATCCTTCCCTGAATGTGAACTTTCTTGCAATACTTTCTCTTATCTCAATAAAGATATTTCTTGCACCTGCAGCCAGTAATCCTTTAAGTATAGAGAAGATTATAGAAAAAAACAAGCCTAGATTAATTTAAATTTTTAATTCTATTAACAGGTATGGATATAAACATAAACAGTGCACAAGTATCTACTATTTATTAATACCTACCTTTGTAAGGTTCTTCTTATACTAACCAGAGGACACAAAGGGGGTTATAGGGTAGACTTCTCAGTTTTGCAGAGTTTGTCCAAAATATTCCAGAATCAAGTTATAAATAGTCCTTATCTGATTTCCTGCAAATATGACAGCTGTTTTCTTATGCCAGCATGTTAGCACGTAAAAATATATCAAAATCTTTCTTTCACAACTGAAGATTATATAGCATTTTTTTGCAGAACAAAAAGACTTAAAGTTCTGGAATTTCTGAAGCAGTAAATTTAAAATTATAAATATAAGAAAGTTACAAAGTTTGATCAGATAAATTTTATGTTTAATTAACCTTAGATAAAATTAATAGTTTGTGATTGAATAATAAATAATAAATGTCTCAGTAAATAGTAGTTTTTTAAATTAATGTATGTCTGTTTGCTGGGAAATTTGGCCTGTCAAATAGTTTTTCTTATGACCTTGTTAGTTCTCCTTTGAACAACTCTCCTGTGTTGTTGCTATTCCAGAATTCTTAATGTGATTCATATAGCTGTATTTTAATAAAGGTTATTCTGATAGCAATATTATTTTTGTGCTCTTTTTCTTTATTATAGTTTGTAGCACATCCAAACTGCCAGCAACAACTTCTCTCAATTTGGTATGAAAATTTATCAGGTTTACGGCAGCAGACCATGGCAGTGAAGTTTCTGGTTGTTCTTGCTGTTGCAATAGGACTACCCTTCCTTTCAATGGCTTACTGGATTGCTCCTTGCAGTAAGGTCAGTCTGTGAAATCTTGTAATGGCTTTTTATTAACTCCTGTATCATCTATATGTAGATTCTTGTCTGACAAAGACATGCTTAAACAATAAAAGTTATTTTAAAGCCAAGTTAGAATGGAATGGCTGCAAGACTGCATGTTCAGACAACTGTAATTAAGACAGGTATATGTGTTGTGTTAAATGTAATATATATTAAATTAATTTACAATAGCTGAGCAAGAGTTGCTTTGTAGAAATCCTGCTTTAGAAACAATGAGTCAAATTGTTATCATTTAGTTCTTGCTTCTATAGGTAAATACCAAGGATACTCTTTTTCCATTGTTTCAGATTTAGACTAAGTTCAAGCAGGGGGTTGATTCCAATTAACTCAAAGGCAATTTTATTTTTCATGATTAAAAATAAATAGATAAAAGTCACTGAAATATGAATGCCAGAAACTAAAACAATCATCACTTTTCTAGAAGTCAAAATTAACTGTTTTGGCTTGACAAGACAGTGCTAATATTCATCATATTTCATGAGGACTCCAAAGTAGTCACACAGTCTCCCCTGCATTGATTTACAATGCACTGTCTGGATTGGGTGACAATCTCTGACCTCAGTGAACTTTATGTTGAATCTCTGTTTGAGTTGGTCACTGCCCATTTTGAGTGGACACTGATGGAAAATTTCCCTTCAAAGTTATGTTGCAGTCTAATATCCCCAACTCTAACAGGTCAAGTCCTTTGCACATACTATGATTTCAGGGGAAGAGGAAGGTTGAAAGAGAGAATTGAAGTCTTTGTGAGGGTTTTTTTTTGTTGTTCTCTGGAGGAGAAAAGTGAGCCTTTTTTGTTTGGCCATATTTTTTCATTTCTTTCAGTCTGGACAATAAAAATCAGTTATATTATTTTCACTTTTCTGTATAGTGACCGGGTTTTTATGAGCACTTATTTCTTAAGACACTCCTTGAGATTCAACACACTTCATTAATTGATTTTCTACTATAGCAGTGACTTATCTATTTGTCATTTTCCATTTTCAATGATTTATTGGATCTTAAACTAAATTTGAACCATTGCAGATTCTGAAAAATATATTTCAGAGTAGCTTTTAAAGTCAAGGTCCAAGTAACCACATTCATTAAGGTTTCAGTTCTGTCACTATTTAATCAACTCGTCATGTGATTTGAATGCTTTCTGTTTCATTGTATTCTGCAAATATAAAATCCAATCTACCTTTTTCACCAATTACCATTTAATACTTTATGCTTCACTTATATTTCAGAAGTTTAATCTGGTTTTTGAAGACAAAAATTTTCAGTGTATATTCTCAAGATATTCTCAGTGTATATTCTCAATATAGAACATCTTCTTTATCAAGAGTCCATTCTGTGTATGAATTGATGGAATTTTACATCTTCTCTTCCTACCTAGATAAAGTACACATTCTTTTTCCAGGTTTGGCAGTATAAGGCACAGTGACAGAAGAGAGAGAAAATGTTCACAGTATTTCTGGTGAAAATAAAAACTTACAGTAGAGTTCTGACACATTTCTTTATATTCTCATGTCACGGCTCTGAGAAAGGCAAAAATGTGTTTATGACTTTTGCAACATCTCAGTCAGTTACCTGTAATGCTGACCAGCTTCCTCTTTGGGAAAAAGTTAATTTGAGTTTGGACCACAGACTGAAGGTTTGAATTGAAAGTTTCAGATGTGAAAAAATTTAATGGAAATATGTGGTCAGTCCTGTTGATTTGGAAGGAATTCACTACTGTCAGATGCCAAAAGGCGTTAATATTGCCTCTTATTTGAATTTCAACCATTGATCCTCGCAGAGACATTTCAAAATTTTGTAAACTCTTTGCTCTGCATCTCTAATTGTTAATTCAGTGTAACTACTGACATCATTAACACAAATTTTTAGAATAATATTTTATTACATGACATGAAAGATTAAAACCTTTTTTCAGTTATCTGCAAGAATCTCTAATGTCTCTGCTGTTCAGCTGTAGTAATAGAATTTAGATTTTTAGCTTTATGAACTCATAAGTAATTCGGTCAACCTCTGGCCAAGATGAAGGATTTACATTTGAAACTGAGTTGCCTTTTGCTGTTCCCAGTCACCTGAGGCTGACATTTCTAAAGAAGTAACTTGAAAAATTCCTAAGTGCTTCCTAGAAGCTTGTTCTGAGAGTTATACACATTCCTCTTTTGCATTGTGGTAGAGGAAAAAAAATTGAACATTGTGTCCAGTATATGAGGAGCTAGAAAATTTTTATTACTAAAAAAGTATATGCATAATCTATGTGGTTTTTTTAATCAGACCTTTTCTCCTTTGCAATAGCTGTGCTACCTGGAGTCCCATTTTATAATTTCTTTACCAATGCCATACTCCATAATATTACAATACTAATTGTTTCTGCAGAGTTACAAGTGGGTAATAGTGTAAATCACTTACTACAGACCCCAGCAATTACAGGTGACCCTCTATATGGACAAATAAGTGTCAGTGTCCACCATGTAACTATTGTATATCTTGTCCTAACCCAAAACAACATATAAAACACTCTCCAAAACTCCATAGCAAACCAAAAAACATAGTATACAGTATCAGAATCCAGAAAAGAACCCAAAACAAAACTCCAGATCACTTAAAACAGAGACATTCTGAGCACTTAGAAAATCATGTCCTTGGAAGTGCAGGGGAAGGGAATTTATCACATCAACAAGCGCAGTGAAAGTGTATGAGGGGGATTTCAGTTTATGGAAAAGTCCAGAGTAGCAAGATTATGGCGTTGGCTTTAGATGCTGCTTTTTTTCCTCCCAGTTCATATTTTCTGACCTATATCTTCTCCATAAAGAAATTCAGAAATTTAGAAGTGTAATTTCAAAATTTCATCGGATCATTGTTATGTAGCAGTGTCATAATAACTTCCAGGAGTTTTGTAATCACTTCAACCAAAGTTCTGCTTCTAGAGAGATTTTGCTGTATATATGCAAAAAATACTTTTCTGTTTCTTTAGAACGGACAGGAGGTGGGGTGATAGGAATTCACTCTCTTAAATTTTATGTTTTTTGATCAAGGGTTATATTAACATTAACCTACTTCAGTATTTTTTCTTCTTTTCTGGTTATGTCTCTCTCTGGCAACTGTATCCTAACTCATCTTTGTTTGTGAATACAAGAATAATACATTTAAAAGGACACTGTCAAGGTACTTTATCATTTTCCAGCTCTGCTTTATTGTATGTTGTTTATGACTGTATCTTCCTAGCTTGAAATAAAATTTTTCCCCGTGACAATTACCTGTTCTCTTTGTAGTTCATGCAAAATAATTGATTGTTGAAGTTCATCCCATGAGGCTGACAGACTGTTTAATTTAATAAAAAACAAATTAATTTAATTGAGTGAGAAACATAATAAATGGCATGGGTTTGAAAAGTAATATAACAAATCTTATGCCTGCTAACCTTGACAGTGTTCCTTTAACAGTATCTTATATTTGCATTTGTCTAGTCTTCCTAATGTGATTTGTATTTGAGACCTTACCATTGCATCCTTGGCTCCATCCTCTTATTCATGTTTCTGTAAAAGCTGACTGCAAAATTCTGATTTTCTGCAGCAAAAATATGAGTACCAATAACATACCTCTCTGTTTCCATCTACTTTTTCCAGACCACAGATTGTTATATGTTTTAGCTGAGATATGTAACACTTGCTTTCAATCATTTCCAAGCAATTTTTTTAGATACAAGTACAGTCTTAGTCTAAAATGAAAAAGTATTTTTCTGCAGCTTCCAACTAAGTGGACAAGCTAAGACTTTTAATATTAATACAGCCACTCTCTAAAATAAAGTAAATAATTCCTAGAACTTCAACCTTGTGTGAATTTGTATGGAACTTTTAGGTTTTTGAAGTGTTGCACTAAACCATTTTAAAGTTGTTCTTAGTCATGACAAAGCTGAAAACTTTTCCATTGTAGCAGTCAGGAGGAAATTACGACTCTACAGGACTATAAACATAACCCTTTGAGGCCTCATGACTTTTTTTAAAAAAGAAAATAAATTGGGAAAACTGCACAATAACTGTGCTAAACCGAGTATCACATCAGTCAGGAAATTAAATTCTTTAGTCATAATTCATTCATGGTGATAATTCTTTTAGTAAGTGTCAAAATCTTGGTTTCTTTCTTGTCTCATAAAGATGACTAGCATGTAAGAAATCCACCAACTATCATAGATTTTACCTTTGATTATCTGTAATAGACATAGATACTGCAAACTAATTACGGAATTATTTCAAATTACCGAGTTAAAAATACAGATCTTTTTAATTTCAGTATTCTATCAGTGAAACGGATAGATTATTCCTGAAAACAGCACATCAGTAGAAACTTCTAAAAGCAACTGTCAACACGGCATCATAGTACACAAATTTTTCTAAATATTTGTTCCTTTGCATTATTGAAATAGATGACTTTCTGTGTTACTGCTCCTTTTATATATTTTTTTATTTTGGAAGAAGTCAATGCAATATCCTTGTGTTTCATAATCTCTGTTGCAGCTGGGGAGGATAATGCGTGGACCATTTATGAAGTTTGTAGCCCATGCAGCCTCTTTCACCATTTTTCTTGGTCTGCTTGTCATGAATGCAGCTGACAGGTTTGATGGCACCAAACTCCGACCTAATGAAACAACAGACAATGTAAAACAGCTGTTTAGGATGAAAACATCATGTTTCACATGGATGGAGATGCTCATTATTTCTTGGGTAATAGGTAAAAAATTTTGCTTAAATTTGTCTTGCTATGATTTCAAGTGAAGCTGAACTAAATGAAATCCTTTTCTATCAATGTTTTGTGTAAAAATTGCGACAAAGGGAGTTTATTCAGTTGTCTGCATTCCAACATGGGCCTCATGTTTTATGCTGGATGTCATCAGGATTCACATGTTCCCATCTGATCACATTCAGATTAAGGATTTAGGTAAAATCTACATCATTCTGAAATCTACATCTACATGAATTCAGTTTTACAAATAACAAAGCAAAGTGTCTACCAGTTTTCTGGGGGTTTTGAGTCACCCTGCGTCAACTACAAAGGGGAAAGATTTGCACATGATAAAGCTATTTATAAATTAATATAGTTGTGTATTATAGGGATAATATAGCACTCAGATTTCTGAAGTCTATAAATATCTTCATCTGATAAAAAAGAAGGAAATAATAGTTTCTTAATTTGAAGTTCTAGTTTGATAATTTAATCTATTTTCATTTTTATTTATTTCAGTGTCATGCATAAGATGGTTTATGAAAAATTGATTCAGTGCATACAGACGTAACATTGAATGTAGTTACTGCAATTGACATTATTATTGTCCTTATCTGAAAATTATGAAAAGTTCCTTCAGACAATTTGATAAGTGAAAAAAGTATTCCATTCAGCTTTTTATTAAAGACTCTTTTTAAAATCCTAGAAATGTAGTTTATATTTTTTTCTCTTGAAATGAAAAAAGATTTTTTCTGAAAATAAGAAAATTTGAGTTTCTCTATTAGCTCTGCCACAGATCATGCCAGAGCATTTCTGCACTTTCCATCTCTTCCTGTGTTTGTAGCAGATGGTGATACTCACATCCCATTCCTCTCTTTGAAAGCTTTTATAGTTGTACAGGAAAAAGAATTCTAAAAGATTGCTATTATTACTCGCATGAGAAGAAGTCTTGGAATGTATATGAATTTTCAGATTCAAGGATTTTATTTTGTGTTTGAATTCCCACTGATCAAAATTGTTTTGAGTTTGACCGCAACCAAGAGCATGTTCTATATATAATAAAAATATAAAATAAAACAATTTTGAAGATAAAAGAACACATTGTTTTCTCTGTTCTGTCTTAAACAGGCATGATATGGTCTGAATGTAAAGAAATTTGGTCTCAAGGTCCAAAGGAATACCTTTTTGAGTTATGGAATATGCTTGATTTTGGTATGTTAGCAATTTTTGCAGCATCATTCATAGCAAGGTTTATGGCATTTTGGCATGCATCCAGAGCCCAGAACTTCGTTGATGCACATATGAAAGATCTGACTAGTCCAACACTGGACCCCAGCATAAAATACTACACCTTGGGTGAGTTGATTGAACATGGTTAAAATTTACTTCTGGGGCCAAGATGAACTGATTTTTCAGTAAATAAGTCTCCAATACCATAGTTCCACAATGTACTACTAAAGAAATTCCCACACCTTCTCCTTCTCATCCTTATGGTAAATTGAATATGAGTCAGCAGTGCCCTGGCAGCCAGGAGAGACATCCATGTCCTCGGATGCATAAGCATAGTATCACCAGACAGCCAAGGGAAGTGATTGTCCCAGTCCACTCTGCACTGGTGTGGCCTCACCTGGAGAAGTGTGCAGTTTTGTGTACCACATTATAAAAAAGACACTAAACTATAAGAGGCTGTCCAAAGGAGGGTCACAAGGATGGTGAGGGGTGTGGAGGGGAAGCCATACGAGGAGCAGCTGAAGTCGCTTGGTTTGTTCAGCCTGGAGAAGAGGAGACTGAGGGGAGACCTCATTGCAGTCTACAACACCCTCATGAGGAGATGCAGAAGAGCAGGTACCAATCTCTTCACTCTCATGACCAGTGACAGGACTCAAGGGAATGGCATGAAGCTGAGTCAGGGAAGGTTTAGGTTAGATATCAGGAAAAGGGTTTTCACCCAGAGAGTGGTTGAGAATTGGAACAGGCTCCCCAGGGAAGTGGTCACAGCACCAAACCTGTCTGGATTCAAGAAGTATTTGGACAACGTTCTCAGGCACATGGTGGGATTCATGGGGTGTCCTGCGCAGGGCCAGGATTTAGACTCGATGATCCCGATGGGTCCCTTCTAACTTGGCATATTCTGTGATTCTATGATTCTACTATTTGATCACAGTTCCGTTGGCTATGCTCATACATCTTTTGAGGAGTGTTCTAAACAGCAGGCACTGAAATGATCTAAGATCAACATAACCTTACTATCATCTCACCCCTTTTCTAGATTATTTTAATCTATTCAATTACACAATACTGTCTGCAAACCAATCTGTGTTGGTGCAGCTGTGAATTTAATCTACTGTAATGTGGGGACAAAACTAAGCAATGAGATGCATGAACTTCTTAAACATGCTATGTCAAAATAACCAATATGTCTTTTATATATTATTTTTTCAGAGACTCTATTGTATTACTTTAATATTTTTCAATCCACTCTCTTTACCAGTAAGAGATGAAAAATGTTAATAAACTTGCGTGGCATATATGAGAAGTGACTAGAAGCTATTTCACCTGAATGAGAAAAAATTAAGCTCTGTTGATTAGTGTTCGCTCTCAACATCACCACATCTCTCTTACTGTTATTAGATATTTTTTTTCCTAGATACTGAATTACATCAGTTTCTATATGTGTTCTGTGCCTCAGATACTATTTCTCTTAAAGTTACATTCCTGCATCATCCAGGCTGTAGAAAAGCAGAGCAATTAATATATAGATTCTGAAACACATTGAATTGTAAGACTGACAAATTTTACTGGAAAGTTACAGATTTTACATAAGTCCTAAAAGCAGCTGGTTAAATATTAATTCAGTTTTCAGAAACACACACTTGAAGAATGTGCAAACAGAGACTGTTGTTTATGTTCACAGTGTCTGCGTATGACAAGCACAAGTCTTGTAACTCATTTATGCTACACAATACTGCATCATTTAGAAAGGCACCTTCCATTCATATCAGTCATGGGTTGTGACTTTGTTATGCCCTGAAGCACAGCTGATACATTTTTTAGTGGATGCACGTACACTGAAGTCTGGTTGGAGAGCACCTGTGTCTGGTAGTGCCAACATGGATAATGTTATTTAGTGCCACAGTTTTTTTCATAGGTTAGGAAGCATAACTTGATGGACACCAGGTTGAACATGAGCCAACAGTGGGCCCCTGTGGCAAAGAAGGCCAATGGTATTCTGGGCTGCGTTAGGCGGAGCATGGACAGCAGGTGGAGGGAGATGATCCTGCCCCTCTACTCAGCACTGGTGAGTCCACAACTGGAATGCTGTGTCCAGTTCTGGGCTCCCCAGTACAAGAGAGATGTGAACATGTTGGAGATAAGGGCCTTTACAGTAAAGTAGACACAGATAACAACATTCTCCAGGGACATAGGTAACACATCCCAGGTTAACCTCTTCTCTTTGTCTGAAGCACAATAGTGAATAAATTTAAGCCTGCCACATCATGAGAGAATGGCTTGACTTACAGCAAGGAAGTATTCTGAAGGGTATTGCTTCAGACTTCTTCTTCTGACACTTTTCTGTAAATATTTATTTAAGTAAAAGTTTGAACTTAAATGTTCCTCTCTGCAGTTGAATGTGTCACGTTCCCCATTAAAAGACATTCAAGTAATTCACGAGTACATTAGCTTCAGCAGAAGATACTGATAGAAATGATGATAGAAAAGGTGTTTGGTGTTTGCTGGGAAATGACCACTACAATTTCATTATAAGTAAGACAATAAAGTAGAAAAGATATAGAAATATAGTTCGTGTAGTTTTGGAATTGTGAAGACCATTTAATTAATTCAGATCCCCACATCAAAACAGTTCATTTTGTCACAGCTCAGTTGTCATCACCTGCCACTGTAACCTGAATTTTACTTAAATTCTATTATAGGCGAGGATTCAACTCCCAAAAAGTTACCTCAGTGATCTTACGGGCCACCTTTATAATCACTGGTGATCTAATCAATACAGTCAGTGGAACTGTGGAAAGGTTTTAGAGTTACATGGCTCACTTCAGTCAGCTAAACCTAAGTGATTAGTTGTTTGAGTTGCCATGGGTTTCTTCCCTCGCCTCGAAATCACAGAATATCCTGAGTTGGAAGGGACTTACAAGGATCATCAAGTCCAAATCTTAGCCCTGCAGAGGACATCCACAGGAGTCACACCATGTGTCTGAGATGTTGTTCCAATTGCTGTTCTGACTGCTGTTCCAAAAAGACCCCCATAGATGCATACAATTATCTTGAAATAATGACAGTTCTCATCTTTTGTTCCTAGCCAGAATAAACTGGGATCCGTCCGATCCTCAGATCATATCTGAAGGGCTGTATGCAATTGCGGTTGTGTTAAGTTTCTCAAGAATAGCCTACATCTTACCAGCTAATGAAAGCTTTGGACCACTGCAGATATCACTTGGCAGAACCGTGAAAGACATCTTCAAGTTTATGGTGATATTTATCATGGTGTTTGTAGCTTTCATGATCGGCATGTTTAATCTCTATTCCTACTATCTGGGGGCGAAACAAAATGAAGCATTCACAACGTAAGTACCGCTGATTAAAATGTAGGTTTTTTTCTTAACAATAAAGCAATGAAATACAAAATATGCTACTACATTTTTGGACATGGGGAACTGAGATCTCCTTAACAAAGCAAGGAAAAATATGTCTTCAAACAGATGGAGACAGATAGGAAAAAATACCTCAGAGGTTTGGACTTCTATATATGTATAAACTGATTAAGAGGAAATACATGTATTTAAGTGAACTAACTTGAAAAAAAATCAGTATGCCCACACCATGGTTTTACATTGAAATTGTGTAATAGTAAAAATTCAGCTGGAGGATTATGGTCTGTGAGACTCATTTTTCTGAAAATTGATGAATTGCCCTCAGACATCCTGTCTTCTCACAGTTTCAGAATGTTTGTCATAATAATGGTGAAATAATTCATACAAAGTGAACTAATGGTGCAATTTAAATAATTTACAGGTTAATTATTTTTTATTTACATTAATTTACATTCAGCAGGCTGTAGCATGTAGATTAGTTAACAAGTAAATCATTGTGATATTCTTTCAAGGATGGGTATATAATTCCTAAACTGAATCAGATGGTTTTATTGTCAGTCCTAAGTTTTAGGAATCTTGTATCGTGAAACAGCCTGTACGCATGAAATTAGATAGTGTACTGTTATGCACTATGGTAGAATTCTACATTATGATAATGGAAAAATTTTTACACCATATAAAAATGGTAACTGGCAATTTATATAATAAGAATATACAGCTTTTCTTCAGTATTATATACATGTGTTCGATTTCTCCTTTTAGTGTTGAAGAAAGTTTCAAAACATTGTTCTGGGCTATATTTGGACTCTCAGAAGTTAAATCGGTTGTCATCAATTATAAACACAAATTTATTGAAAATATTGGTTATGTCCTTTATGGAGTCTATAATGTTACCATGGTCATCGTCTTACTGAACATGCTTATTGCAATGATCAACAGTTCATTCCAGGAAATTGAGGTAAAAACTGATTTTATGATGAAGTATCACCACATTTACTGTTACAAATAATTGTATAAACCTCTCGGAAAATATTCTTATTGACATCTTGTTTAAGAAAAGTAACACATAGGTTTTTGGAATATATTAGGAGAAAATATTAATTCCACTGTACATTTTTGTTATAAAATACCTGGAAGTTACCTGTGCTTGCTTTAGTAAGAATCAAACTGGAATAAGAAAGTGCTACTGAACTCCGTTATGTTCCTGAAGAGGATGGCTACATGGTGTGACTTTGTGAATCTTTCACTCGCTTCATTTGTAATTATTAGAGAAATGTCCCTCTTGCTGCAAGGATGTTCACATTCCTATGCCTTGGCCTTGCAAGCAAGTCTCTAACATGTTGTGTTCTTCTTTCATTAAATAACTGTTGCTCTAGACCTCTGCAGTGAACAAAACTTTACTTGACAAAGTAATCAGCAGGGCTACTGAAAATCAGCGTGAATTTTGCATACCATGGAAAACAGAGGGCTAAATCATTATCATTGTTTTGAAAAAAAGGAAGCAGATCTCCAGGAGCTAGGCCATCTCAGACCTTCCCAGATGCCCTTGCCACACAGCTGCATGCTCAGGTTTGACACCGCTCTGGTCCCCTGTTCTAGGCTCTGGTTTGGGGCCGTAGCATTGTCTGGCTTGAGCAAGAGCAGCGCATTCTCTAGGGAGGTTCATATTCTTCTGATTCGGGAAGCCACAGAGCAAACCTATCAGGTTTAGAGCATTAAAAAGCAGTCTCTTATCCAAAAATATGTTGACTGGATAAAAACAGCTTCTAAAAACAGGCGCAGCAATAGCGAGATGTCCTTGGACATGATGTCAATCCTTTCTGCAGAAAACCCTCTTCAACTTTGCAGAGTGGAATAAAGTGATTGTTTTGACGATCCTAAATGTTAAGCGTAAACCATGGTGATGGTAGCATATCTGGTTTAATCATATATTTAAGCAAGTGGAAGGAATTATCTAAGAATCATCTAATCTTTTTTAACTTCATGTTTAAAGTAATAGAGTAATAGTGTCTGTAGACTATTAGCAGGGTCTGTCGTTGTAATCATATATTGCAGACTATTAGCACTGACCCTGGAGTAAGCAATGTTTAAATTAAATCCATTCTGTTCTTCTGTAATTGCATTATTTTAAATGGATTAATAAGAACAATTCCATTCACTGAAATTTGGTTTTCATGGATCATAAGCAAGTTCTTGATGTGTTTGAGATTAACTTCAGCCATTACATTCAAAACACATACAAAGTTTAGCTAGAGCATCTTTAATAGTCAAAGTGGTATTAACAGTGTATTAACAGCTGTGTTTCCATTTTACAGGATGATGCTGATGTAGAATGGAAATTTGCAAGGGCTAAACTTTGGTTTTCTTACTTTGAAGAAGGGAGAACCCTTCCAGTACCCTTCAACTTAGTGCCAAGCCCAAAATCTTTGCTGTATCTCCTAATCAGAATCAAAAAATGTATTTCTAAACCATTTCTGTGCCAAAAGAAAAACTTTCAGGAAGATGCGGAGATGAACAAGGTAATTTTGTCATGTATATATTAACTTCTAATTTTAAAACATAAAAATAATTTTAACTTAATTTTTGTTGTTGCCCTGTTTTATTCATGAATTTCCCAATATACTTCATCCATACTAAAGTCAGTCACTAACGTGGGTACAAGAATATTCTAGAATACAGAGTTAAAACCCTTGCTAAAGTCAGGTCAGAAGACATCTCCAGCTCTCCCTTTATCTGCAAGTCGTTTTATCTCAGAATGCTGTCTAGATGGTCAGACAGATTTTACTTTTCATAAATTCACACCTACTTTTCCCAGTCACCATCTGTCCTTTTACATGCTCCAAGAGGATTTGTTATCCATTCCAATTTTTTGCCAGTGACTGAAGGGAGGTTGAGTGCCCATGTTTGCTCAGATCATAATTTTGACCTTTTTTGAAGATGGGTTTGACATTTGTCTTTCTTCAGCCTTCTGGGATCTCTCCCAATATCCATGTTTTTTCAGAGATGATTCCGTATTTGCAAGGGGTTCATCTGCTCTCTCAGCACCTGTGGATGCAGCCTTTTGGGTCCAAGGGACTTGCCTGGGTCAAGTTCTCTCAAGTAAGCCCTGTCCTGTTGAATCCCTTCACTGAGCACAGAGGCCTGAGAGACTGTTGCTGAAACCTGAGGCAAAGAAGGCATCAATTCCCTCAATCTTACCGTCATCCACTGTCACTTAAATCCGTTTTCCCACTAAACAACAGGCCCACATTTCCTTGTTCTCCTTGTTATTGTAGCAGTAGAAGTTCTTCTTATTGCCCTTCCAAATGTCAGTTTAAGACAAGTTTTGTCTTTCCTAACACCACGCTCACATGCCTGGACAGTTTCTAAATTCCTCTTGATAGCCTGTCTCTGCTTCCACTAAAAATGCAGCCTACCTTTATCATAAAGCATTTTTTATCTGTTTTATTTACACAAGTGCAGTAAAAAGAGCTTGAGTCGATTCACTGGGCTTGCTTAGGGAGGTTGTAGTCAGTGTATTTTTCCTGCACTGTCTTGGCATAAACCAAAGTAATTGCTTTAGGAGAATATGGAATGTTAGGTGATATTGGAAATTTAAAGACTAGCACTATTCTAGCACTATTGTAACATGTTAGGGAAAAAGAGCTGTGTAAGACAGCTGATCAGATGTAGCAAGTGGAAGGGTGAGCATACAAAGAAAAAGAAGGTAGCAGAAACAAAATTGTCTTCTATGGAAATTTAAATGTGGAAGAATCTTTGTTAAAATGTGTGGTAGTCTGAGCAGATGCCTGTTCAAGGTTACGAGTTCTTGAGTCTGTAGTCAAGAATCATTAGCCATTAGACTAGAGAACAGTAAAGAATTTATGTGTGTCTGTCAGTTCTCTGTCACCAGTGTGACAAGCATGTTTTCCAACACAGAGTTGAAGAGTAGAAGAGAAAAACTGGTTGCAATCCTAGATGGAAAAAATGGAGTTTTAGGAAAAATACTGTGCCTCTGACAAGCCTCTGCCTCTGGTTAAGCTTATAATAGTTTATGAAAACAAACGTAGGTATTAAAAACAGTGTTACCAAAGTCAAGATTGTTGTTAACTTCAAATGTCTCATGTGTACTATTGGTAATTTTTCTAGTATTTCACAGATCTCACTTCATTTTACTTGGGAAATTTAATCCTAATGCATTTAAGACCTGACAGAGGTGATACTTCATTTGCTCAGGTTTTTAATGACTGACATTTACAAAACTTGATTTTAAAACCTCTGTGGGTGATAAAGTCATCACTGAAAAATCATACAAATAAGGAGATGCATGTAAACTTAAAATTGAGTGATGGTGAGAAACAACAAATGGTTCTTTTCTAATTCACTTTTGACTTTGAAAATCACATAAGTAAGTTAAATGCTTGTTTTAGTGACTTTTTAGCATGAAATTTATGTTCTTTAAAACAAGTACTATTAAAAATCTCACTTATATACCCTAAGGAAAGACGCTGTATTTTTATCACTCCTTTCGAATCTAGCAATTCAGATTGCTAGAAGGGTGCAAAGTATAATAATTACCAGTTCTAGATAAAACAGTAACAGGTGTATTGGCTTTTACAGCAGTCCCTCTGAAATAGAACTGCAAGGATGTAAACATCGTTTATCAGATTTTTTCCTAGCCCTGAATTAAATTTTAGTCTTCAAATATTAATGCTTTACACTTGCTGCAGATTTTAGTGCAACTAATCCTAAATGAAATGTGCTTACTCCCCAGCCAAAGCAGCTATAAAACTGCAAATCAAATAAAAAAAAAAGCTTTTATGTTGAAAAACATAAAGCATCTGAGTTATATTTATTCATTCACCAGCTTTTGCAGCATGGTGACTGCTATTGCCAGATGATTACATTTTTACTTACTTTTTGGACCACTGTATGCTGTGGAGATGACTTTATCTGAATCTGAGATACTGCCATCCTGTGCACTTCTAAAAAGTAACTAAAATGCTTTTGTGTTACTTTTTGACCCACTATTGATAATTTGTTGTTGTTGAGGCCAGTTTATGGCATCTTTTCTAAGGCATTCTCAGGCTTTTGGATTTTGACTTGGGACTCATTCAGTGCTGAGTGTGTTGGTGCTGCTGCGACTGCTCAGCAAGGAGCTACTACAAATGCAATGAGCTGTGCAAAGATAAGAAAAGATTTGACAAGACCAGACCCAAGACCCTAGACTTAATGGCTGTGTTTGTGCTAGTGAAATGTGAGGCGTAGCTTATCTGGGCATTGAGGCCAATTCAGGAATGGCTTGCCCCTATTTAAGTAGTTTTCCTTGCAAAGGGTTGCTGCATGCTCTTGTCTTCAGACGATTCCTGTTGCCAAACCATGCCTAGGAAGGTAGAAAGTTGTTCTGAGGCAAGTCCTACCTGGGAGGAGAGTAAAAGTTTATTGATAGAAGACATTGCATTGCAGGGCCCAATAATGTTAACACACACTCGAGTTTACTGATTCAGATCCAGCCTGTGGGTCTTTCAGCTGCGCAGCCAGCATCTTCTCAGTGCAAAAGTGCCAGCAGCTTCAGGGTGAGCATGAAGACAGGAATTAGAATGGGAAGGGGGGAAATTCTACTCCTAGAGCCAACTCTGCCTTGATTATTGTTGGCAGAAAACAAAGCCAGATGCTGTCAGTGCTAAACAGCAAGTAATTTACATAGCTGTGTTCAAAGTGTACCACACTAGAAATTAATTTCTTGAGACATATCTGCGTATAATACTAAAAACTGTGAAGATGTTTTCTTTCAGGTTGTTGATTAAAACTTGTAGATTTCTTGTTTCAGGCTAGAATTGGAGTTTTAAACATAAAGTGAACAAGAAACTCAAACCAAAAAAGCAGAGAAATAAATGAAGAAAAAGGGAAGTTTTAAAGAAACGTACTTTGATTTTTATTCTAAATTTTAAAATTGCCTTCCAATTGAGAACGTTTATTGTTTAAGAGTCACAGAAATTATTCATCTTCCTGAGCTAAAAAATGGTAGTTGCAGATGATGTATTTAAACCTTGTTCTTGAAACATGGCCCTTCAGAAAAAAAATAAGGGACAACTATTTATTGAAACTGCTTTAAACCTCCATTCAAATAAGAAAAATATGTCAACTTTTACTCTACTAGTGCAAAACAATGTTTCTGAAATGTTCATGGGTGGACTTTGGTTATGGGAGCACAAACTGAGTGGTTTGCTCTGAACCCTCCCTTCTGGTCCAAGCATTTTTGCATTCCAAATCATCACCTGCTTCTGAAAATTGGGATTTAAGACATTAACAGAGTGGTAAACAAAACAGCTACAATAATTACATTACTATTCCGATTGCATTCAATTTTAAGTAATACTAGAGAATAATAAAATGAGAAGAAAGTTTAAAGACAAAGATGTTTTCTAAGAGGAATGATACACATGTACTGCATAGAATCATAGAATTATAGAATCATAGAATCAACTGGCTTGGAAGGGACCTCTGAGATCATAAAGTACTCTTGGAGAAGAGTTATTTTTGGGGGTTTGTATAATTGTTTTACTTAATTTACATTATTTCCCCTCTGATCACTCATGTTCAAAAAATGTTAACTTGAAAATATGAATTCTAGTTCAGTTATCAGTATGACAAGCTGAATGTACTCTAGTAGTAATTTTGGGGAAAGAAAAAAGCCATAGGCGTGAAAATTAAAGAGAATTTAAAATGTTATTTGACGTTATGATGAAATCTTGGCAATCTCTGCCACCAAGTGGTCATTCGGCAACACACAGTAGATATTCTGTCCTGTTAGTGTTGCATATAAAGAGTTTTAACGAAGTTACACACTTATTATTTACCTGCCAATTTTAAGGTGCACTTTCTAGCTAAGTACATTATTCTGTCCAAACAGAGTGCTGAAGGGTAAAAGTTCAGATAAATTTGTTATAATGTACCTGATTTTACAAAGTTGCGGTCTCAACCGACTTTGCCACATAATACCAGTTTTGCTATTTCAAGTGAAAATCAAGTTGTAGTTAAGCATTTGATTAACTTTTAAAGTGAACCAGTGTAATATAAATTTGAAACTGGTAACCAGCATGACAGATTACTTTTAAAATATATAATAAAATACATAGTAAATACAAAAAATTATAAAAAATAAATGAATCTGTAGATTATACATAAACTGGTAAATAACAGGATCATGAATGATATCACAGCTGCAAAGTCAGAGATCCAGGAGTGTTGGGACACCAGCCACACATCTGTAGCCCAAGCTCATGGCCTAGGGCAGCTTTACCCAAGGAAACTTCCCTCTGCTACAGCAAAGCAAGCATGCTTTTCCTCTTACTCTACTATATTATTTCCAAAAATGGTGCATGAGAAGTCCAGGGGATGAAATAGCAGGAAGATTGTTTTTCTCTTTTAACCTAGTAGTAAATGTGAGGCCCAAGACAGTATTAATAGTTCTAAGATCCTGAAAGACATAGTGATTAAAGACTTGTGTAAACTCACTAGCCATTCCTTTTTATCACAAATCAGATACCTAGTTTAAGTATCAACGTTTAGATAAACTTATGTTTTCTAATATATATTCAAAACATTTAAAGTAACTTTATTCAAGCAAGAAAAAGAAAAAATAACTTGCCTTTTTTATACATATTCTATTTAATTTCCATCCAAATGTAGATTAATATGTAAGAGACAAATATTAATTATTTTATATTTATACTATTATATATCTTCTATCATTATTTTCCTTAGTCAAATAAACATAGTCTGAATAGAGAGATAGTGTTTTTTACAAGAATGTGCATACAATTTGTGAATCTTTCCAAAGAAACAATCCAAGTTCATTGTAAACTTTATATTAATTGCAAATAAATGTGTTTTACCAAAAGGTATGAACTTTTCTTCAGGAAAAAAATATCAAAATACAAACCTGATATAGTGGAAGGTGTCCCTGCCCATGGCAGAGGGGCTGGACTACAGGGTCTTTGAATATCTATTCCAAAACAAACATTCCTTGATTCTATGAAATGCTAAACAAAATCTAAAAGTATTTAAATTATTCTCAGTGTACAGCTGCATAAGCTATTCCTTGCTTTCCTCCATAATGAATTATATTCCAGCATATCCCACATAGTACTTAACAGGCTTCAAAATGCTCCAGTTTGCTTATCTGTAGATGCTCTATGTGTTAAGACACAACATAGAGAATTTCACTGGAAGTACAACAAAATCCCACAGGATCTGAGACACTGCAATGATTGTCTGGTCCTTTAAAACCGTAAACATTTTATTGGACCATGTAAAATTTCAGACTTTCTCAGTCCCACTTATTCCTCATCGAGATCAATCATTATTTATATTTCACAATCTTTATATTTCTAGCACTACTTGTTGAACTGGCCCTGTTATTTATGTAAAGTAATAATATTTGTTTTGACAGTTGCTGTTCACTCTTACTGCAGCCCGGTCATTCAACTTGAGTCTCAGTTCACCATTTTGTGATTCTTTAGTCCTTCTCAAAGATGTAAATCAATAATGAAGCCTACAAATTGCATCCTCCATGTTTTATCGGACATTTATGCCCTTTCAGCACGTGTAGTAAAGAAGGTGCAACTCAAAAATGTCAGCTGATAATCTTGTTGTCCCTGGCATGAACTGCACAAGCAATTACATTCAGACAGTGAGGGGAGAAGCAAACTCCTTGTGTATTTTGTGGTAGTGGAGGTCACATTAATTACAGGCAAATGTTATGAAAAAAAAAGGAAAGGGATAATGCTGCCACCCCTCTTTCCTTGGCTTCTCACACACCTGCCCTGATCTTCCCTCATCGGTTGCCTGCAAGGCTGTGCCACACCAGTACTGCCTTCCTCCTGATGTGGATTCCCCCTCCTGTGCATCAGAGGAGCAGGAGAAAGACCAGAGTGACGTAGCCACTTTATTATGGTCCCTTGGACATGTTAGGAGCAGGTGAGAGGCAGAGTAAATAGAGAAAACCTACCAGTTCTCACTTTACTACAGCACAGTCTGAAAGTGTTTTTTTCACTCTTGTAATGAAATTCTGTACATGTATGAGGACTTTACCACAATAAATTAACATTTCCCAGTTGAACTTAACAGTTAGTGTTCTGTCACATGATGTATGTATGCACGATATATACATGATATATCTGTATTTTTCTTTTATTTATTTTGAATTATAAATAATCTTTCCATTTCAGCTTGGTCAAAGGAAGCAGTCAAGTATAAGAAGCTCAGATGAAATTCACTTAAACAGTTTAAACAATCCTCCAAGACAATACCAGGTAAAAACCAGTTTATTTTTGAACAAAATCAAGACGTAGTAGAACTGGCAGAGTGATGTCTTGAGGACAGTTTTGAATTTATGCTAAACAACATGAGTCAGGAATAAATTCACAGGCCTTGTATATATCCGAAATAAATGTAGTGATTTAGGTATTTGCAGTACAATCTGGGTGTGTTTTTCTCTCCTCTTTGTTTCTTAAATGCTACCCTTATAGTGTAATATTTTAAAGCGCTCGAGAAATGTTTTTAATTTTAGGGATAGGATGAGTCTTCAACTGTACAATGGGAACTGAGAAAACCAAAAAAAACCTCAAAAACTTCCCATTCCATCTGCTGAAGCAGCTCAGATTATTGTTCCACACCTCTGTATACGAATACTACAAGCACTGCAAATATCTGTCAGCCTTTATGCTGTCAATACAGTCTATTTTTTCTTTGCCTCCTAAACAACTGCAGTGAGCCTTTGCACAGTTAAGTATAAAGAGACCCAGCACAGTCCACCAAAGGGCCAGCTATTCTGATCCAGAGACTGCTACTTTCCTTCCTGAAATACTATACAGCAGGTGGAAAGGAAGAAGCAAGAGCTGCCGGTAAATAGAACACAACAATCTGAATGAAAAGGGTATAGAAAACAAGTATACCTTATTGACGATAAGACAGAAAAAAAGCTCTTCCCCCTGGGCAGGCTAGGTCTGCTCCATTCTTATGTTATACAGTGTCTGCACAAGTCTGTTCCAAAAACTGTCTCACTTTTTCACAGCCAGTTTCATCAGGACGCAATGATAGATATTAAGATTAAAATTTTACCCCATAAACATGAGGATGTGTGGCTTTGTATTTGAAACGTTCTTGGATTACTAGAATAAACAGTACAGCTGCTGACCCTGCAAGTGGTGGTCTGGAACCACTAATCTGGGATGACTCACCACACAACCAGCTCTGGCTGGTTTTTTTACTGTGCAGACAAAAGCGGATACATAAATCTGTGTACATTTTATATCTTATGGTGAAAAACAAAAAGTATTTTGTTGTGATGGACTACATCATATGAAAATATTAAACCCAAAGACAGAAATACAGCTCCTAAAAGACGTTTGGATACCTCATTCTTTTTCGAGTCATTTGAACTAATGGGAGAATCAGGGGCAGAATTCTTTTTTCCTGGAAGGGTAAAATTTACAATAAATTTGCTGGCCTAGCTTCCCCTTATTATTAGGAGAGAAGTTAGTCATTCCCATGGTGTGATCTATTCAATCAGTTTTAGTTGTCTGAGATAAACTGTGCTCTCAGGTTTGCTCTCTTTATCCATAGAAGGAATTAAAGGTGACAAATATGTGTATTTGCATGAGAAAGTACTTGGTTAGATGAGTCCCAGCTGAGACACTTAAATGACTCTTAGAATTGTGGGTCCCGTTTTTCTCTAAGCCCAACATTGGGAAAACATAACTTACTAAATATAATATCAAAATAGTTTAAAATAAACTGATGACAAAAGGGTTTAGCAATTAGCACTGCTAAACAGGGTCATTGTCACCTTGTGGTAGCAGTAAAGGTCAGATAGTGTCACCTATGTGGAGATCAAAGCTGCAACTCTATTGATCATTCTTATAGACTCCAGTTAAGTAAGTTAAGCTTCGTGAATTCTGACATTTGTAAAATGCGTTTAGTTTTCTATTTTTCAACTACATGTATGTGCAGAATCATAAAGTTTAAATATCTACTATAGATGAAAGCAGAGATTTTTACATTCTGTTTCTTTAACCTGTTGAGTCCTACACTGAAATGTCTGAATGCAACAGAAGGTAACAGAGCTGTTGTAATTTAACACCAACTGTCAACTAAGTACTGCACAGTTGCTCACTCACTCTGTCCATACCACCCCCGGAACCCCGTGGGATGAGAAGGAGAACTGTAAAAGGTAAAACTTGAGGGTTGAGATAAGAAAACTTTATTAATTTAAATAAAGTAAAATATAATAATAATAATAGTAGTAGTAGTAGTAATGAAAAGGAGAGACAGAGAGAGAGAGAGCGCAGTGATTGGCCATTTAAGGCCAACTCTCCCCAGTTTGTATACTGAGCATAACATTCTGTGGTATGGAATATCCCTTTGGCCTGTTTGAGTCAGCTATCCTGGCCATACTCCCTTCCTGCTTCTTGTGCACCTCCTTACTGGCAGAGCATGAGACACTTAAAAGTCCTTGACTTAGGGTAAGCACTGTTCAGCAACAACTAAAACACCAGTGAGTTATCAGTTTTATTCTCATAATAAAACCAAAAGTCACACTGTACCAACTAGTAAGAAGAAAATGAACTCTGTCCCAGCTGAAAGCAGGACAAGAGCTCATATTTTGAAATGTCATAAAAATACTAGTCCAACAAAGAAAACTTTTTTCTTTCTTTCTTCTCTTTAGAAAATAATGAAACGTCTCATTAAAAGATATGTATTGAAAGCTCAGATAGATAAGGAAAGTGATGAAGTTAATGAAGGTGAGTATGTTGATGAATTGTATGTTTAATCAGAGAATCAAGACAAACTAAAGTAGTTACATATGCCACTTGAAAAAAATGTTTCCAAAATACTTAATTCACTTGACATGTTTACAAGTGCTAGATATAAAATTACCATGAAATTGAAGTTAAAGAAGAGATGGGATTCCTATCTCTTGTCTCCCATCAGAAAACATCAGTGATCTGACAAGTTGTCAAGTGTTGCTACTTCTAGTAATAATAGAAACATAGGATCATTTGGATTGGAAGGGACCTTAAGGATCATCTAGTTCCTTAAGGATCATCTACTTCCAACCCCCTTGCCATGGGCAGGGACACCTTCCAGTAGACCAGGTCACTTAAAACCCCATCCAACCTGACCTTGATCACTTACAGGGATGGGACATCTGCAGCTTCTCTGGGCAACCTGTTCCAGTGCCTCACCACCCTCACAGGAAAGAATTCCTTCATAATATTCAATCTAAACCTACCCTCTTTCAGTTTGAAACCGTTCCCTCTCATGCTGACATTGCATGCCCTTGTAAAACATCCCTCTCCAGCTTTCTTGTAGACTCCCTTTGGACTTGGGAAGGCTGCTGTGATGCTCAAGGCATTTCCCATAGTGAGACTGCATTTAATGCAGCAGTTGATTTGAGGCATTCCCATATGAATTTTCATTTGTGTTGGGATGTGTTTTTATTGTGAATTCATATATGGGGATGCATATACTTCAGCTCTTTTTGTGTGTGATTTATTAGCTGGAAACATTTAGTAAATGCACTTCACAGGGATGTTCTTGTCTGTTTGCACCCCTCTGATGCTAGAAAGATACTTAGTGCAGTAGGAAAAGGAGAGGACTACTCTCTTTTGGACAATGAGAAGCTTTGTTGCTGACCAAGACTACTCAGGCAACACCAATCTGCATGATCTGCAGAAAAGGACCTGGGGGTGTTGGTCAACAGGGGTTGAACATGAACCAGCAGTGTGCCCAGGTGGCCAAGAAGGCCAGTGGCATCCTGGCCTGTATCAGCAATAGTGTGGCCAGCAGGACCAGGGCAGTGATTGTCCCCCTGTACTCAGCACTGGTGAGGCCGCACCTTGAATCCTGTGTTCAGTTTTGGACCTCCCACTACAAGAAAGACATTGAGGTGCTGGAACATGGAACATGTCCAAAAAAGGGCAATGGAGCTGGTGAAGGGTTTGGAGCAGAAATCTAATGGGGAGCGGCTGAGGGAACTGAGGATTTTAATCTGGAGAAAAGGAGGCTCAAAGGTAGACCTTATCACCCGCTATAACTACCTGAAAGAAGGACGTAGAGAGGTGGTGGTTGGACTCTTTTCCAAAGTAAAAAGTTATAGGACAAGAGCAAATAGTGTCAGGGAGACATTTAGATTGGACATTAGGAAAAATGTCTTTACAGAAAGGGTTGTGAAGTATTCAAACAGGATGTCCAGGAAAGTGGTTGAGTCACCATCCCTGGAATTATTTGAAAGACATGTAGACATGGTGATTAGGGGCAAGGTTTAGGGGTGGACTTGGCAGTGTTTGGCTAATGATTGGACTTGGTGATCTTAGAGGTCTTTTCCAACCTACATGATTCTGTGATTCTGTGATTCAGTGATGTCTCTTGCAGCAGAACAGCAGCTTCCATATAAGAGATGATATGATCTCTTTTGTGAACTGATGTGACCTCTCACACTTTTGCCTTCAGATTTGTTTGATTCCTGAACTGCATCTTCATATTCCTGTCTGTAAGCCACCATTCACCAACAGGCAACAGAGCATCTGCTTTTTCTGTTTCAACAAAGAAATACAGAGAAAACCTGTGATAATTGTGAGATATTTGGATATGGTGTTTTTTTCTTTTGTTTCTTAACGGTATGATCTTCTAACATCTGTTACAGGTGAACTGAAGGAAATTAAACAGGACATCTCAAGTCTCCGGTATGAACTCCTTGAGGAAAAATCTCAAAATTCTGAAGATCTGGCAGAACTTATAAGGAAACTTGGGGAAAAACTGTCAATTGACTCTAAGGAAGAAGAAAGCAAGAGATAACCAAAATGTTTAAGAGATGCAACAGAATGTTAACAATTCACTTAAAGCCATATTTCTGTTTTTCTCAAGTCTAGCTCACGTTTATACAGAAGATTCAGAAATTAAATCATTCCAATTCTTCATTGAAAAAACACAGTGACAAATCCTATGGGTCTACAGTAGGGAGGAGATGCCACTTCTGTAAAGATATTTATTCTTTACTTGCTGAAAAAGAGTTAATTTGAGATAATTTAAATACTCAATTTAGAATACTCTTTTAGAATTCCAGTGGAATCTTGATATCTTGATAAGGCCAGTCATGACAGATTAAAAGCATAGATCTAAAATTTTCCTACATTACTGTTTCTGTTTATTTTTTGCAAATTTCCTTTTGTAAAGATTCTTACATATATTTTAGTGAAGCAAAAGAGAAAATTTCCACACTTTTACATATATATATATATACATATATATATATATAAAGCTATTTAATTTTTCCAGCATTCCCGGGTGGGGGGAGGAGGTTGGGTTCTTAAAAATAATTGAGGAATGTTTCCATGCAGAGGTAAATTATCAAGATACGTATAGCACTGTATTATACTTCTCCCAACTTATCCCTGTCGCTGCTGGACTGGACTATCCTGAAAGATCCCTAGGTTCCAATGGGAGTCAGTGCATTTATAAATAAGTATTTTTCACCAAGTTTATTGAAAAGCTATTGCTGAGACCAGAAGAAAAATTTTTTTAATCCATAATATTTAGTTATTGATGTTCTAATCTCTTTCAAAATTCCCAGGCTCTTCAGTTTTTATGTCTTGAGCTGAACCTCCCAAACTGCAGGGTAGGGGGTTGAATGTAACAATTTTATTTAAGGTAGAAGATACTAAAATGTTAGGTGAAAACCCTCTCTGAATTCTGGCGGTAGCATGCATGGGGGACCATGTTTCCCCATAGTTAAACCTGTTTAAATCATAACATTTTCTTCGGATCTCTCCATAACAAACAAAAGCATCTTGTTTCAAAAGTTCATGAAATCTCATCTTCTTTGCATCCCTCGTCCTTTTTTCCACTGGAGAAAGCTCAGTTCTTGTGCCGTGTTCTTTAGGGCTCCAAAGAAGAATCTCCATGCCATCAGCAGAGGCCTTTAGTGCTTTCATCCTGCCGACTGCAATACTTCTATGTCTCTTTCTGTTAAACCGGAGATGAGGTGTCTGTCTCTGGCTGTTTGTTGTGTCACTAATATGTCCATGCAGGATAGTCAGCTAGCTTCTGTCTCTCCAGGTAGATACAGCATAAATTCCAGATAATCTTTTCCTCAGTTAATACAGTAATTTGTATTTCCCACTGATTCTGTGACTGTTATAAACATATATTATATTGGGCATCTCTCTTCTCTTTAAGCTTGGTTGCGATTAGTGAAAGGGTTGTGAAAAATTGTAACAGAGACATCAAGGTGTAAGAATGCACCTGTAAAAGACTTGTATGTTTAAGAAACAAGGATGGAAATATCAGTAATTGCTTTAAAATTAGCTTTGTGAAATTTATTTATTACGGAATGTATCAGAATGTTTCTGCCTCTCCCTTTTAGGCTGATGTTATTTTTTAATGAGTTTAGATTAGTTTCCATCTGAATTTACCGATAGTCCTTTTTAAAAAAATTTCTGGTGGAATCACTGTGTATTTTCAGGGAAAAAAACCAACACGTGTATTAGAATGGGTTTTGAAATCATATGGAGACAGGTGGAGGCAAGGGTCTGAAGTCAGCCTGTCCTGAGGTTGTTTGTCACGGTGTGGGGGAACTGCTTGGCACGTTAGTTTAGCCACCACTGGAGCATGTGGGACAATCTGTGTCCTTGGGCTCCAGGCGTAATGAACTCAGGGTTTATAAACTCCCAAGGCTTCTTCCTCTGAGGGAGAAGAAAAAAAGTGAGGTTTTCAAAGATAGTAGAGCATGGACATTTGGTGTGACCTCAGACTGGAAGGCAATGTGACCATAATTTCACTGCCTTTTGGCTCCTGGACGGTTCCTGGCCATCTCCCTAGGGCAGGACTGGCCACTGATTTTGAGTTCCCACTTGAGTATTTCGGGCCTGGTTTTCTGAAGCAGTGAACAGTTAGTTCAGCACCATTGAATGACTGTGTTAGAGGCCATGCTGCTCAAAGCATATCTTCCACCTGTGACAAGCTCCTCAGAAAATCTGTTGGTCAGAATTTGAGGTAACAGGGACAGTCAACATCTGCTTTTGGTAATCAGAAGTCTTTAGTTTTTGGTCATTGTAATGTGCAGTTTGGACCTGCTCTAGTGCTAGGTGATGGTAAACCTTCACTCTCCATAAACTCACTGAAAAGAAGTACATGAACACAGTTTAAGATCCAGGCTCTTCTAAAGATTTTTATTACAGAGATAAAATGTACACTGTGAATTTGTTTAAGTCCAAAATTTGGCTTACCTTAAAACAATCAGATCGTAATGTATATATTGTATTTCATTAAGAAAATACATATGGATTTTTTATTTCAATGAAGATATTTTATATATAGTTATTACTCATGGAACAGTTTGTTAAATATATTTGAAGAGGTCTATTACCAAATGTAGTGTGACAAGCAATGTAGTATTCAAAATGAGCACAATACCAAATATATTATTCTGTTTAAAAAAAAAATTAAATGTATCAGACTCAAAATATCTTTGTGATGCATTGTATGAATATGTTGGTATTTCACTGGGAACCATTGGATGCTCTTGCTTGGAAGACTAATGTGATAAATACTTTCATTTGCAGCAACACTAATACAAAAAAAAGTTTCAAAGAAGGTACAAGGGTCTTTTCATACTTGATTAGATTCAAGGCCAAGTATTTTGTCTGCTGTGACTAACTGTGACTCATGCCAGATGTTTCAGAACATCTGCAGTAGGTAACAGATAATTTTCATCTTATATAGTTCTTCTTTTGGTTTCTAATAAAAAAGATTGATATAACTTTGATGAGGAAGTATTTCCAGATTTATTCGTGAATTATTTAGATAACAAGACAGTCTTGCTACCTATTGTTTCTTGAAATTTTTTGAGCTCAGCAATTCAGTTTCTGTAGCAGCAGCTTCCACATCTAAACCAGACCTGCTATGAAGAAGTATTGCCTTTATATATTTTTTCCCCTGAGTATTTCTTAAGTTTGAATTATGAGATACAGTGAGTAGAATCTGTTATCTCTTAGACATTCTCCTTTCTGTTCCTCCAAATGTATTTCACTAAAAGATATAAAAGGGCTTAAGAAGTTCTGAAGAGAAGAGAATACAGTAAGAAAATCCACAAATAAGCAAATCTTTGTTCAATATTTTCTCACACTTTTCTGGATGAAACAGAGTCATGTCTAAATATTGGGAAAAAGCTTTATACATTCAGGAGAACCACAAATTTTATTAGAAAGCAATATTGCAATGCAAGCTTAAGGTACTCAAGGTTTATGGTGAGGTCATGAATAAGAGCTGCAGGATTTCACATGAAAATTCAGGTATGACAGGTAAAAATCTGCTGTATTTCACCCTATCTTAGAGCACTTACAGGCCAAGCCAATGAATCCTACTGGTTTTAGAAGTGGGATCTACAGGTTCATCTGATTTTAGACACCAGCCATGAAGACTTCTGCCTCTGAACTTGTCTAGAATTTCTTTGTATTCAGTGGATAGAAGTGGTCAAAGGCATGATTTTGTGTCATCTTAAGGTAGACAAGTATCCCAGGTGAGTCACATTGTAGAAGTGATCATTTTTCTCCTGTTACTCTGAAGAAGCCACTGTGACTGTTTATATTGTAGCAATGTTTATATTGAAGTGTGAGAAGTCCCAGCTTGACAGAAACGAGCACTGCAGCACACTGCAGGGCCATGAACAAATGCTCATCTGCTTGTAAGTGCTTGAACTGATGAAGACACTCATTGAGAGGGGCAGGATCTAACTTGCCTTCAGAAGAATGTAGCTCATTCCCCAGAGATGGTGGGTGAGTAGGGTCTTCTTTATTCTGCAGGAATATTTCATTTTTCCCTTCATTAGTGTTACTGTGTGTATGCATAAATGAAAATACCCATTAACCAAATCTGTCGCAAAAGTGAAAAAAACTCTGTTAACAGTACACATGGCAACTAAATTCTTGTTGATAAACTAGGAATTTTATGACAGAAGTTTGTATTCATGTTTTAGTACATTGGGGTGAGCATATATTTTCAATAACATGTCTTCAAGATTTACAATATACAGCTTGTTCTTGGCAGTACTTCAGCTATAGCAGCTGTATCAAGTAATTTACTAAGAACATGTTCTCATGACTGCCTTGTCCCAAAATGCAATTTAGTCCAACAAAATCTTGCATTTGCTTCTTAGAGATTTCTCTCAAGCTTGAAATTAGTAGCTGAACATTGCAATTAATATGTTGTAAACCACATAATGTGGAACTGTACTCACTTGCAGAACAGTAGAACTTGTCCTTATAGTGCAAATTGCTAATTTTTCATGTAAATGTTTAATGCTTTGTAAAATCTGTTACAAAATGCCTAGTGTGAATAATATTTCTAAGACTTATGTTCTTAGTTAAATTTTAATTTGGCCTGTGGAAAACAGAACTCACAAAGTTTGTGTTTGGAAAGCTACTTGTACTTCAGGAGCTTATACTGAAAGAGAAGTTAAGCAAGGCTGAGAAGTACATTAAACTCCATGCACTTAGAAGTCCAGGGAATCCCATGCACTGTTCTTCCCTGGTGTATATTACTTTGAGTACCTCAAAACATTTCTTTTTTTTCTCTTTTTTTCATTGTTGCAAAAACCAAGTCTCCTGTTTCTCTTTTTGTTCTTGTCACCATCTGTAATATGACAGTGCAGTAGGGATCACAAAGTACAAACTTTTAGTAGTTTCTCTGTCCAAGCAACTGCATTTTAGTAGGATTTGGTTTTAAGTTTTTCAGTTTTCTGTGACTCAACTCCTTCACACTTATTCTTTACTCAATTGATGGACCTCCAATCAAAGCATTTTAAGAAGATCAGATCATATTGTATGCAAAGTGCATTAGATAAATAATTATCAAAATTAATAGCAATATTTTTGTGCATTTTTATACATGAACACTTTTATACCACTTCGATATTTCATTGTGCTCTATAAACAACGAGTATACTCTAATAGGTTTGCACAGTCTGTCAAAAAGGACATAAATAAAATGACAACTGGTCCAAAACTTACTCACTCTCAAATACAAATAAATTTAATTTCCCATGACCTTTGTCAAACCAGATCAACTCTTTGTTTCTCAGTTTCTTCCTTTATGCTAGGGGAGAATGATACTAACTTGTGTCAACATGCTCGAATAAGTAGTTTGAGGAATTTATGAAAGAGAAAACTTCAGTTCTTTCTCAAAGGGAGTAATTCCTTGTTTCCACAGAAGATTTTGCGCAACTTTACCAAAACTCTGATGGTTTAATCAACTTCAGTAGAAAAAAACCCACAGGATTTAATGAGTTTAACGTCTTCACAGAAAAAGGCACTGCTATGGGATTGTTCCTTAGAACTGCAGTTTTAAAAGTTCCAGTTAAGACAACCTGTCCTGTCAGTAGCCAAATTATTTAGTCTCCATCTTCTCATGGTAAACTGAGGCTCTGCAGCTGGGTTATAACCTACTCACTTTTGAATGGAGAAATATCACTGACAAAGTAAGTTGTTTAAAAAACATGAACATGAGCAAGTCTTTCTGGTGAACAGAAAATAAGGTACAATATCAGGTTGCTATCAAATCATGTTGGTAGTAAAAGATTCAAGACTACTTTATGTGGCTTGTGCTAGAGCACATATGGTCTCTCCTAACATGTAATTCTTCTTTTCAAAAGAAAATATTTCTCCTAGAAGTGACCTTGGCTTGAATTTGTCAGCATCATTTAAGAATTCTGTGAGTTTCTTCCCTCTGAAGTGGACCTTGGTCTATATTTGCACTTTATTTGAGTAAACGAAACTGCCTGATACAGCAGTATTAGTGGCTACATTCCTTCTACAGAGGCTTCTCTCTGACCCTACAGGAGGCCACTGATCATAGTACTATCAAGAGTGTTAAAGACAAGCCCTGGCTGGACCAAGAAATATTTCTCAGTATCGGACTGGGAAGAAATAAAAAGAAAATCATTCCCAAAGAGCCTATGGTTCTTTTAATGTTGCAAGTTAGCCTGTATCCAACTGTCTGGAAATTTTGTCTCTTCTAGTTTAGATATCCACAGCACACATAACACAGCAAGCTGTCTAGGCTCCCATTCTAGTCTCTGAAAACATACAGAAAATTCTAGGGCACAGTTTTAGATATCTGTAACATATCAGCAAATCTTGCTTTCAAAATACTTCTTTCCCTCCACTGCTCACATAAGTCCCATCCACTGCCACAAACTCCTAGTTGTGAATGTTTGTGTGAACACAAGAGCGCAGGTCACCAGCACCTTCTGCTTCAGGGCCTTTGCTCAACACAGGTTTTTATTGCCTGAATGTTGTTTCAGAAGTAAATATTTACTTTGAGTGGAAGTGTAGCCTTGACCCAATCTATTGTAGTTCAAAATCTCAAGAAAATGGGAAATCCCTTGCTGAGTGACCAACAAGGTCCGCATGAAGTATTGAGCCAACAAGAACTACTGGCAGTTGCATGTAAAAATATGATGAGTGCTTTTTGCAGATGTTCGCAGCTTTAAATGGTGTATTTTAATAAGACTCAGATTTTAGATAATTTGTATGTTACAAATTAATCCCCATTACACTTGTCTTTAGACTATAATTTCCAGCAGTTTCAGTTGATCTAGTAACTGATCACTCAACCTAAAATTATTCAGTTGTTGCATTAGGCAAGCACCAAGATGTTTTTATTTCATGCAGGTAAATTTTCTCATCACCAGCTAAAACTAAATATGAAGGAGACTGTGTTGGGGATAGGATGTTTATTGATGATCCCAATGAGGTATCCTCACCTCCCTGCTCCACCATCATCTCATAGGATGACAGAATGTCATGTCCTCAGGGGTTTTCTTAGGAGCTCGATAGGAGAGAATACAGATATAATTAAAAAGATTGAACAATGTTTTTAAAAGATGGTCCTCTTGTCAGGCTTCCTTGAAATTACTTCAAATGCATGAATTTCTTTTGGTTTATTTTATAGAGAGAAGAATACCCAAGCTGCAGAACTGCAGTCGGTGTACTGCGGTAGCTCTGGAACAAATAATTCCAGTTCTTCTCTTCATTAAAAAGAAAAAAAAAAGGCTTGAAAAATTTGGAAGCAGTCTTTGCCACTGCAAAATTGACGTATACATGCCTCTCCAGTAAACTATTTCTGTTTTACTTACCCCTTCATTTCATCTATCACTTCTTTTGAAAAGTAAATTGTTAAGGTTACCCATTTATTTTTAGGTTTATTGGTTTACATACTTGGTTTAGGCAGGAATTCAACTTTAACTAAAACAATTGTATTTCAAGTCATCATTTTCAATGTCTATAAATTTTATGGTGTTGTTGAAGCATAGTCAACAACTGCTAACCAAGAGTTTGTCATCCTGGGCTCCTTCCATGAACAATGAATACCATCAGTTGATGCAATGATAAGTAAAGCCCTCTGTGTACCTGCAGATTACAGGATGTATGCCAGAAAACAAAAGATGGTGGTAGATATCCATCTTATTTAACAGATTACAGCAAAGATAGCCTGGGATTTCTGGCAGGTAAATGATGTTTGGATTCACAGAGTACATTGTAGAAGAGCTGCTACTGCAGACTTTGCAGACCCTAGGTGAAATTAATCCATTCCAGTGACTTAGAGTGAATTTTTCTTCGTCTGTACCCAGACAATTTTAATTAACTTTATAATAGGACTGAAAAATATCTATATGCACACTGTTCTGTGTGATACAAACCTGTAGATGTTTGTCTAAAGTAAATTCAGTCTAATAGGCAAGGTGAAAACAACCTGGAGAAATTAGTT